GCAACAGCTTGAATTTTCTATTGTAACAGAGTAACAGGGAAACGGGTGGCGAAGTGAAGTGAAACGTGGGTGTAAGGACACAATAGAGGGGTTGACGAAGATCCCGTTTTAATAGAAAAATAGCAGATTAGAGACAAGGCTATTCACCCTTTACCACTTGACAAACTATGCGTAGAACAACAACAACAACAATGAAACATAACGGCTTCTTTACGCTTTTGATAGTAGTCACAATGATTGCACATAAAATTGATTAGAACATGTCCAAAGTAGCGACAATTTTATATTTTTATGCTTCTTCCTATGACAAGGTAAATTTTGTTAATTGACCAACCAACCAACCAATCAATCGACTCATAGAGCTATTTGTAACGTGGTTAACTTAATTGCAAAAAAAAAAAATACATCCATCTAGGATTAGTAACTAATTAATCTTGGCATTGTACATGGCGCCTTTTTAAATGAATACCTTATTTCAGAGACTAGTCTCACTTTTTTATTAAAAAGTACAAGATTTCCTACTCATGATGCTCTTGCAGTATCTGTAGTTGCGTAATAGATTCGCGCGGTGCAAATTACAAAGTACGCTTCGAGGTTGGACAATACCACGTTGGCGCGGAAATGTTTACCAACATCTAATACGGTCTGTTCTTCACCTTGTAACTGTCAAATGAAAACATGCGAGTTCATCTTATTTGTTAAATAAAAACTTTGCCGTTTCCCTAATATGAAACTGAACGAAACTGTTTGGGCCGTTAACGGTTGTAGTTGAAGAATCCTTTGCTTTCAAAAATCGATTTACAACCGATAACCCTCTATTCTCGCAAGACCCTATTTTTAGTAGCAAAGGAATTCGCTGTACGACCCTAAAGTTTGCCTAAACATTCAGCCATGAGCGCCGATTCAGAAAGTTTACTCAAACGATTAGACTGACCAATAAAGGTTCGCATCATGCCCATTCCCTAAGGAGACGGAAACACGATGGTAACATTCCCAGCAAATGACGCCATAGTTGTGCTATTTATTATTTGCAAATCAATACAATATTTTAGTCTTTCGATAAAAAAAAAAAATGCCCCAAACTAGGCGCACCATTTCTTTCCGACCGAAGTTTGCCACGTTTAAGCCAAAGCTCAAAGCAAATGAAATGAAGCGGATCGATCAACGGAAAGTGCCAAAAACGTACTCTTCAGATACGATACTTGCGTCTTCCTCATACAACGACCTATTTCTAAACGAATTCTATCCAGGAGTATTCGGTGCAGTACACTAACGGAAACACACAGTATTATTACAGAGGTATTGGCCTGTCTTCCGTTCAGGATGGCAAATCATCGCCGATGCATCTGGAGATTAAAGTACGCCAACTTTAGACCTATCCAGAGTGTTATCCTTATGTGAATGACCAGCACCTTTGACAGCCAATAAAGAATTTCACCGAAATGTCAGAACGCAGCAGCTATTGTTGCTCTTGGCAACAAAAAACTCTGACGCTCATCAAGGCTACTGCTATTCAGGTGAAGAGGCGACTTTTTTTTTTTCGCTGTTGTCCCACGCTGCGTCTTCTTCCTTCCCCGTAAAGCCCGATGGCGCAGTGAGTATTCAGAAGGACAGGGGCGGGGTACACACAGGCTTCAGTTTGAAGGACCCAATAGATCGACGCTTGAAGGATACATTATACGTACCCTATAGCGCTGCAACAACGTAACATTAACCTAAGGACGACTTCTCTACACACGTACCAACAGTACGAAAGAAAAAACGCCAGGAAAAGGATGCGATATGGGGCCAAGAGCTTACCGAAACCATCATCTTCACGACAAGGATGCAATAATAATAATAATAATATCAGCAGCAGCGTGACACTCTGCGCTGGGAAAGGCGCAAGGCACCACGTATTTTTCCCGGTATAGGTGTCATTTATATACACATATATATATATATATATATAAATGGCTATCACTGGCATTTTTACGTCGGGTATTTAGGTTCGTCCCGTTCGCTCTGCGATGTTCGCTAGCTGACAATCCTTATTGGGTTACGATAGCGCCACCACCACAGTCGAATCGTTCGCTCATTGAGCCTTGTTAGGCTCCGAATACTAAATCGAGAGATAACATGGTAAAGAAGAGCAGCTAGAAGGGTGGATAAGAATACAGGACTCGCTGAGGCGAGGCGGCGGGCCAAAGTGCGCGAAAGATCAACGAGGCAAAATCGCATGGAACTAGTGCACTGAATGATCCGCCGCCATCGCTTATCAATCTCTTCTCAGAGAAACATAAAGAAATGCAAGATAGCAAGAAACGACATGAAGTTTCGTTTTCCTCTGAATGATTGGATGGCGCAGTGAATGTTGAACGGAAAGGTTGAGATTCGCTCCGTAGAGTATACAACGAGAGATTGGTTTGGGCTGCCATATTACATTACTTTTAAACCTGAAGAGACATATTAGGCTATATAAAGACATATAAAGATGACTCCAGACATTGTGACTTTCTATTCAGCCGTACGGAAGTCGGTCACCGGTAGGAACCCTTGAATCTCGGTCGGCATTACCGAACACATCAATAGAGAACCAGGCCCTTTTTGATTAAGATAATCATAACGAAATCAAGTTACTCCACGACGTTTCGTGTAGCACTCATATCGCCTGATCATAGGTATATGGGTGATATTATAATAGCAACTGAATCAAACTTAGCTATTGCAAGTGAACTACCATTCGTTCTACTATATCCATTTTAAGTACGTTTTACATTAAGATTAAATAAGCTAAGTTGAAACATCGGCCTGCCCGATGAGCTGCAAGCGCTTTTTCGCAATGGCCCAAACACATCAGAGAAATAGAACAGCAAAAAGATCTTTTTTAATGCCGTATACGCGGCATTTAGTTGACATCACCCCAATTGCCTATCGTGTAACTAGACGACGAATAAAGAATAAATACAAAAATCTGTCCTCATAAACGGTAGCCTGGCCATTTACGCAGGACAGATATAGCGCAGGCTTAATTTTGACACTGACATGTTGTTTCCCTTATAGCTGACCATCCAAATCGTTTGGGGTAACGTATCGGGGATGGGGAGCGTCATCGTTCCGTTAGATATAGCAGAGTCGGCAATAATATCTCGGGTCTAAGTAACAAGTTTTATATATATATATGTATATATCATACGCGAGGGCATATATAGGGCATCATTTGGAGTCGGTGGAACGGACACACCGCAAATGAAGATGTGATTAAGCTTGTTTGTTGTATTACAAACGAAAACCTTCGTAGCGAGTTCGAAAGAGGAAGCAAGTTAGCTGAGAACACATACAAGTCGCTATGATCAAGGAGTCACTAAAAAAGAAACACGATATTAAGCTAGCAGATCTAACAAGATACAGGTTTAAGGATGATACATAATATTAGGTTCGAAGAAACCGTTGATCTTTCCCAATCAATTCACTTCAATTGCCTCCAGTCACTAGCAAAAGTGTTCATATTTCCGTTTCGTATAAATTATAACTCACTAATACAAATATACAAAAGCAGAACACAGTAAACCAGCCATCACTTAAATGTTTCAGTCCTTTCTGCACGGCGGCTGCTGCTCGGGTCACCTTTTCGACCCATTTTGTATGCTGCTATTCAGTTATAAATCGCAACGCGCCTATTTGCGTGATAGGAAATAAAGCAGTATCTAAGAAGACATCGATTGCAGGTTCGTAGACTATCTGCGCGCATATAGTTTTCTATGCTGTACGTCGATATGGCGGTACCCGTTGAGTATGAAGCTTATACAAAAGCTAAGCTTTCGCTCATAGATGAACAAGATAATCATTTTCACTTATACATTTGGGTTTTTGTGCTAGGCCCAAGTGCAGGTATCGGCCTACAAATTTATCCCACCAAACACCGTATGATGAACGTCATACGGAACGAGTACTTACGCGATAGACGGAAGAAAAAGGGAGGGTCTGAAAACGAATGTTATGACGATCTCACTACGAAATTGGTCTTTCTATTCGTACTATTCGCGTACTATTCGATGAAGCTTTTAAGCAAAAAATGCCTCTTCACATTTAGTCCTACTCTAAACTTGATCATCACTATTCGAAACATATAACTAACGAAACACAGTAATACATATAGAAATATTTAGGACTTTTACTACCAGCATTTTTTTTCTCTTCGATTTGAAGAAAAATTATGCTATAAATTCTATATGTTTCCCTAGCTTCCGTCGGATATATTCCCTAACATAAGCATAGAAATGATGAAGTTTTTACCTAGTGAAGAAAAACTCTACAGAGGTAAGAGATGTTGTCGCACGAAAAAGCTATCGAATGCATTTTCTAAGGAAGCTCTACTTTTCTGCACTTCATAGTGATAATCTTTGGGTTATAAGAAGTGCGCAGAGAGCTCTAAAGGGCTAAGCAAACTCTAAAAGCGGCACAACACTTTGGACCTGAATCAAAAGATCTGTAAAATGGAATAGGCTTTACTTCCATCTATACAGAGAAAGAGGTTTCGGTGCAGATCTCTGTTGAACCAACGCTTGCGCCTTGAGTTTATTCGGTAAATGATGTTTGGGCCTCAAGGTAAAAACGACCGATCCTATAATCGCTCAGGTCGTCGGAGAACGCGCAACAACTAGAAACGAGTCATTGAAATTATACTACGTCTACCAAATACACATATGTTGTCTGTGAATGAACCGTTCGGCCAAAGCTGATTTCGGGAGGAAGACTGACGGTGTCGATTTCTTTAGAAAAACCTATCTGATACGAGAATATCTTGTGTGTCGCTGAAGTGAAATATGCGCTAGATAGCATTTTCGCTATGTACCCTTAAATATACACGAGTATGTTTAAATAGAAGCGTATGTTTATAAAATTCCACAACGATAAGCGTAATAACTTAAACAAACAAAGCTTGAATATTTTCTAATGCAAAATTTCCATTATTAGGTCGCTGCACTATATCGAATATATACCTTTGAACACACGTTTGATCGCTTGTTATTATTACCTGATCTATTTTTTATTCCAGTACATTGCCATGATATCATCCTCTTTTCCTCGCATTCTTAGATCTGGTTCTGTCCGTCTTATCATAACAATAGGAAATCTCTGAGCTAGAGCAAATCATTGACGCTATAATTCGTATGTAGCGGCTGAACTAGCGGCTGAAAATTGTGAGGACTGCTATAATGGTCAGTTTTCACAAAAGCCATTTCCGCCGAATCGTAGTTGATTAACATGTGGAGCGGCAGCGAGTTCGGCACTCTTTGGGCTCGTATAACCGCGTAGAAACCGATAACCCCAGTAAAAATGAGAATGAGCTTACGGTCAAGGGCTATATCGTTCCAAACACGAACGGAGAACCGACGAAAATTAGCCAAAAACAGGTCGCACTGATGAATCGAGCTTCTGCTCGTCACTTTTCGAGTCAAGATCTTAAAATGACAGAGTCACACAAGAGAATTACAACGGCAGTGGGTAAATTAAGCTACCTGAATGCTAATGTAGAGGAAAGCTACAAGTGAAACTTTTGTTTTTGGTAGCCGATTTATTTAATGTAAGGCATATATGGACCGATATTATTAAATAGTTTCACGAACTAGCGTTTGCAGTTATTAAGCGAAGTTTAGGTAAAAAAACAATGCATTTCTCGAGTCGTTCTATAGCATAATGTAAACTTACTCACAATTGTATATTTCTTTCAAGTATAAAGTACCAAGCCTAATAATACTATCAACGACACACATTTCACATCACACCTCCTTGAGAAATAAACGAAGTGCTAACACAGTCTACTTGAGTAGTCGTACTCGAATCATCTATCGTGTTTAGAATGTTACACACTAATTAATAGGCGAGCCAACCTGCACTTCTACCTATCGGGCAGATGATCAATTGGTGCAGAACAGTTTGCAGTTATAAACCTGGTCATAGATGAGGTCGGGAAGAACCATGGACGACTTCGACATCCTGCACGCCATCTCGACCATTACCATCATGAGAAGAATACCGCTGAGGCTCTGTAGGTACGTTGATAGCCATCTATCGTTCGAGACCTGCCTATTTAATGTAAATAACAAATCTAGGGTGAGAAAGACCATTGTTACGTTCATCAACAAGATGGGCAAGCCGAAGATTTTGTTGACATGATCGTTTAATAGACGGCCTACCATTTCGTGCTGTCGGATACCCTGAATTGGCTTCTCCTTTGCATGAGCCGTAACTCTGATCGTAATGAGATTCAATTGGTAAAACACTACGCTCATAAAAATCGTCGTATAATACAGACTGCTGAACAACAGAAGGCCGGCAACAATGTGTTGGGTGCCAACCGCGACGCTTCTGAAGTCTGTCACGTAGAACGTCTCGATCAAGCGAGCGCTGAAGGTTAGAAAGAAAAGGCCAAGTGCGACAATCGAAACATGCCGATAAACACTGGTCGCCCGTGGTGAGGTTTCGAATTTGCGGACAATCCTCGACAGATCCTGAACTATGTTTTTAAGAAGTAGAATGTTTGCTTCCATGTTGAAATAGATAGAATTGAATATTGCATTCACGTGAAGTACGCCTAACAGAGAGCGGTTCCATAGCACGGAACCGCTCATCGCTGCCGCATGATCCCACAGGTCGACGATCCACAGAAGAAATAGCATGAAGTGTAATGCTCGAATGCTCCAAAGCCAGACCTGATCGTGCCGAAAGATAAACAGCAGACAGAAACGCAGTGCACAGATTATATATATTTAAATACGAAAAACTAATAGAACGACTGGATATTTTAGTCTTTGTAGGCGAATTTGAAGTATGCTGCAGCAGAGCCATTGTGAAATATTCATCTGATCTGAGTAAACGCTGCAATTCACATAATGATAGTTTTGACAATAAATTAGGACCGCTTTGCGTCTCGCGTAGGGACGCATGTCGTATTTGCAAACCCAGGAGCTCAACAAATAACATATACTAAAAAATGTAAACCTTTTTATATCTAATTTGACTGCCTTAGCATTTGTGTCTACTCCAGTGTTCACAGGCGGTAAGAACTCATCGACTGTTACTTCCGCAATGTTTAGTAGCGTTGTTGTGTGGCCTAGCAGACGTACCTTTTTCTTACAGTTCTCGGGCTCACAACCAGGCATTCCTAGCATCAGTCCAACAGCCTTCATTGAATTAAGGCTAGCCCTGAACTCCGACAGCATTTGCACTCGAAGTTCTGCCTCGTCCGCACCTTCCACGAAGCCGGCTGACAGTAGTGACCTGAACAAATGTTCTGCTCATGAGACATATAGGTACGTAGAATATGTCGTTGTCTTTGAACAAAATGCACTCGGTTTTATATAATCTATGGACGTGGCCGGATATCAAAGATAGAGTATTAATGGGACTAGCGTGGATAAGCATGACTTAGTACTAAACAACTATCCAAACCCTGCGGGAGGGGACTGTAAACTGGTAAAGTCATTACATGAACTACGCTCAAACATATCCACTCAAATGAAAAAAAAACCCAGCTATTTGATGAAATTGAATATAGCGTGTTGACGAAGGAGAAATAATCTCGCCGATTGTGTAGGCCAATCGCGGCCTACACAATTGGCCGATATTCCCAAAATGGATTTATACGTAAGTTGTCAGCTTCAGTGTCCTCTCTCTATCGGAGCCTGGTAGCCCGACAACGCTATTGTCACACTATAAAGAATAAATATTATCGTCTAAGGTAGTAAATATTGCCCCCTTCGCAGTGCGGGTGAAGCGTAATTATAGTAAATTATAGCAGTCAATTGATAAATCATGATATTGTTAAATCAGCGACGCGCAAACATTGAGTCACGCTTTCAACATGAACGCTTTCGACAACGACAAATGACACCTTCTTCACCTAATCGTAAATAACAGCTTAAGAACTGCTTAATAGTAATTTTTCCTTAGTAATAGCGGACATTTCCGTAAAATAAATAGATGTTTGAAGGTTACTACGGCTAAGTAATGTTTCAGACGGCTGGCTCCTTACAGTATAGAACAAAGTGAGTCCATGCCCAGCTGCATGTCTAGCCTAGGTTACGTGTCCCTGAATCCACGTCAGTGCTGCACCATGACGGAAACGCTTTTGCGCGCAGCTTACTTAACTATAATACGGCAGTTATTTTTAAATTACTGAAACACTTATTTCGATAACAATTGGAATTTGCCACTAATAAGAATATATACATACTTTTTACGTCGCATCAGCCTATTTTGACCCCTTGGGCATAGTATTCATCAGCGACATAGGATAACAAGAGAGACCCAAACAAACACCCGATAACAATTTCCTATAGGGTACAATTTTACAACTTGTGTTTGTGGATACTTTTCTCCTCGTAGAACAGCATCATTCCTGCAGGTATAGGATAACGAATAGGGAGGGCACGTATCTGTTAAACGGAAATCTTCCAAATAACTGCTATAGCAGAGTCGTATGGTAGTACCAATCAGTATGAGACATCTCAGACAAAATGAGTGTCAGTTGCAGGCATCGGTAACTGATGATTCGGTCAATCTGTACTATGTTTCTCACTGCGGCATGCCCCCATCGCCCATACACACCGGACGGTGAAGATTCATCTCGTAAAAATTAAAGAAAGTACTTTAAACTGGATAGGCGAAAATGACTGACGTGGCAGAACTGCTTAGTAATTCGCGGCTTCGGTGAACTAAAATCATAACAAAAGATCGCAATATTAGTGTACCGTAGATTTGTCGACGTTCCATATCGTTACCTAATCGTTAGACATTCGATCACAGCTTACTGCTATGTATTACATACGTAGGACGTACTCGGTCGTTTTGTATGTTCGGAGAAAATTTCCAATATATACTATACTATAATATATACTGTATAAATTGGGCTACCGATAGTTCGACGCGCTTCGGATCGGATGTTAAAAAGATTTAGTTGGTAAATGAAAGCTTGGCAATTGGTCACATACCACCGTCTGAGAAAACGACAGATATTTAGTAGAGCCGAAGGCCCGCAACGCTAATACTATTATAGAATTTCCGTCCTTGAACTCGGAAGACCTCAGTCTATAATCACTATATTAACGATGAATATTTATCTATGCTAGCCAGTTGGTTCTGTATGATGGATCGATACCCAACAATAAAAAATAAAACTATAGTTAAATTGCCCTCCGACTGAGTAGGTTTTATATCTTAGATGCACAATAGTTGAGCTAATTTATTTACAATTACACTGAATGAATAAATAAGATCTTGTTCTAGACGAATACGTTAGTATTGTTTGGCTGCTGGCTAGATAGGCCGTTGCAAAGTCAATTTTCAACGCTTTCGTATCACTCGAGGGTTCGTCACCGCAACTGGTCCGATCACAGGAAGGTGATTTTGCCAAAACGAAAACAGGCCCAATATTACTTCTCAGCATATTGCGGCGGATTATTCAGATCCAGATACACCGCTACGTGTACCGGATCGCTTCTGATGTTCCCAAATATTATTGGATTCGTGACTCACATGTTGTGTCTCGTGTCGCTTTAGTCAGTCTTTGTTTTCTTTCACACTTTTAACACGATTGCTTTTATAGTTCCGCTTGCTAGTTCACGTTGGATCGATTTATGGTCAAACAGGCCTTCTTGTTGCTTATTTTTCCCTGTTCGTTTGCTCTATACAGCAACAACTGGCGCCGTAGCGACCTGCAGGTCAACGGTGAGAACTCAAACCACTTTTGGTGGTACGCTATAGCCCCGTAGCCATTCGTGAACGGCCAGCTCGGAGAAGCGAGGCAACAGGAAACGTCGATCGCTCAGTAAAGGCAATGGTTCGTCGCCCGCTTTTTTTCGTAGCCTTTCTCGACCCGCCATTTTCGTCGTTATAAGCAGAGACAAGACGGTCTCCTCTCTCCGGCCTCAAGCTGGTGTGTTTCGTTTCCTTCCGAGTTCAGTCATAGACACAGCAACTGGGTCCAGACCAGAGAATCTCGAACGCTCTTAAAGAGCCGACTAATGCAAAACGATACGATAGCGAGACGAAAAACCGGCGCAATGCTAACTTTTTAGTGTCATCGTTCAAATTGTCGAGGAAGAAGAACTTCTAGTGAGTTTGCTGGGGCTTCGTGGTGAACAGTGAGATATGACATGATCATAAGAATGTTTTTTAATTCATTGCACATTATAAAACTTTACGTGTTTATATCTTAACTACGTATATCTTTCAAATGAATATACTTTCGGACAGTCAATAGACCTATGACTACTCACGCTTCGCTCACGAACCTTTGTCTGACCTCGAGTAGGCTAAACGTTTCCTTCGAGAAAGTGGCCTCTCAGCCTACCCTTTAGCCTAATGCGTCCATTTAACAGGCCATTGAATAATTGTTGTCGATTTGATTACAGTTCGGCAAAGTGGAATAGTTCGCCAAGATTGAAAGCACCATCCCCCAGGAACTAAAAAATTTTCTAAAAATTTACAGTTTGACCCACTCAAACAACATTTACTTTAAAAACAAGATTTTGCCAATAGTACGTAGTTCACAATTAGTGGAAATACAAAAAACTATTTAGCTTTTTACTGTACCAGAACAAAATTTATCGTTATAACGAACATTATCACATTAGACTGAGATTAAAATAATCCACACGGCTTTAGATTCATTGGTTTAAATTAATTGAAATATCAGAGCTTCATGGAAGGCCCAAACCAGTTACAGCTTGTCCTTCGAATTAGTAAGTCTTGGCCAAACAACGGGCGACGTCGCTTAGATGAAACATGACGTATCCCGAAAGCTACGGTTATTACGCAAGACACTACAGAATGGAATTTCAACATATAGAATGGACGTAAATATCTGCTTTTCGTCGTATTATTATATACATATATATATATATATATTTTTTTTTTCCGACGGCCGATAGCATCATACAAGATAACAACCGTCGTGGCTGTGCTTATTAGTTTGGAGAGAATGGTGTAAACTGTATTAGTGAGCCACCGTGTAGACCTGGAGCTCCCGTTTTACATTGGCCGCGTGTCTATCGAAATAAAATCTGCACAAATATCGATAGATGCTAGTTAGATATAATATATCCGTGAATAGCGACAGATCACAATTCCGACGCTTACAATATCCTTCACATTTCTCCGGAACATAGCGAACACTTGTGAATGTAACACACAGCGTATGCTTCGATCCAGAGAGCTTTGTTTCTAATCTTGGCTAGAAATGTATATCGATGATACGGGTAGTGTTTGTGTCATTGGTTACCTAAAAGAAAAAAGTACGCAAAGATGAGCCCCCCAAGCGAATTTGTTTTCGCCAAACTTCAAGGCAAATTTGCTGTTCGCTGACTATTAGCGACGACTGTATAATCCGCCACCTGCATAATGGAACACAATCATGATTTGTGGGTTGTGCGACCTAGGCGTATTTTGACTAACTCTCGAGTGTAAGTAAGTCCTGCCAGTATTTTTATACGATATAGACGAGGGAGACTGAAAACGGCATTGTCACTCGTGCTCAATTTAGTTCCCAGTGTGACGCCGTAAATATCATGCAGTGTGGTCTGGGTAACTACGATGTTTAAGCCAATCCTTTCCAATGAAGTAAGTTGCTGAAATAGTTATAAATTGATATTTGTAAACAGTGTAACCCATGTTTAAAGCTACGAGCTTCACCGTTTATGTCGATTGTTTGCACATATTCAAATTGGTTCAGTCTATATAGCTATATACTTATTGCTAAAGAATAAATATAAAAAATGGACTGAATCATAACATTTTTTTGTTGATTAACTGGTTGTGTCACTTCAAGTTTCTTCTCTGAACTTCTGCTATAGTATGAAATATTGCAAGTCAAAAACACACACTTATTAATAACTGTTACATAAATAACTGTTTGGAGACTTTTTCAAAAGACGAACTTTAACTGTTTTTCTTCATACTCTGATATGCGAAGTTCAGTGAAAAAATTACAGTATAACACCAAATGAAGTTCACTTACTGCAAATAATGGGTTCCGTAACGACCCGAACTAGCAAATTCAGATTTCCGATATAGCGGGAACCGTCAGGTTGCTTTCGGTAGCAGGCCGTTGGCCTAAATTCAGGCCTAATATGTATGGAACACAACGATTTCGTGGTTAGGGAGCGTAACCCAAATACCATTCGCTAATTTTTTTCCACGATTTACTTGTTTTTACCTAAATTATAACTCGGCCATTTAAAGATGACGCTAACAATTAAGGCAAGACATGTGGATTTACTAATCGGGGGTAACAACTGACGGCCTTGATAGTCAGACACATGAGTCTTATAGACTACCCCTTCAAAAATCTAACGTTACGTTCTCGACAGATTTATTTTACTGGTCCTTTTCTAGTTCATGATACTAGGTTAACGGTAGTCATTGGTTAGAGACCGCTTATCAAAATTTCAGGATCCTGACAAAAATCACCGAGATTTACAAGTCGCTAAATAAACAGCACGTTAAGTTTGTCTATTCATAGCAAAAACAAAATGATCGTTAAAATACGGAACTCCATTATCTGTAGTCATTTTCCAAACGTCATCTCGTGGCTATCAGCTTGCCAGCTATCAGTGGCAGGCAACTGTACGCTTTCTTCAAGCTGGATGTACTTTCCCAGAACTACTCTTTGAAAGGTGTCTGAGCTGCACGCGAATGAGGGTCGCATTGGTACGAATATAAGACCACCGACCAGCACCTTAATAAATGCGACGGTACGGCCGAACACATGAGAAGCTGTTGTTTCTTCATTGAAGAAGAGCAAGCACGGCGAAAACAAAAAACAGGAGTCGTTATGAGACAACAGCGTCAAAACTGGCGTATGCCAGCTGTTCTGGTGGGAACGTTGATCCTTAGCGGAGTTTTGGGCGATAATAAGAAGACTAGCCTAAAAGAGGAGATGGAAAAATTGAAAGTAGTACCCGATGTTCTGCCAATCGCACCCAAAGCCAATGTAGAGGTATGGCCCTATTTACCTCTTTGCATTGTTACTCAAGAGCCTTTTCAAATGTTTTTGGATTATCCCTGCAGTTTTTGCACGCCCACGACTTTTTATGAAAAATTTATTTAAACGATTTCGGATTTCTCTTAGGAGCGTCGGGAGTGCATTAGGTTCTTATGCTTTTCGGTAAATTATTTACGTATACATATTTTGAGAAAAGATATATTTAGTTGATCTTGCAACTTTGCATATAACCACGTCAAACATATACTGCAACGCTATATATATAAATTAATTAATATAGCGTTGCAGTATATGACTAATTAAAAGTTTAAAGTTCATTATCAAGTGTTGCCTTTGACAATTATATAGTCTTCTTTCAAACATTCAGTACACTATCGTCAACAGTTGAAGTTCAGCAACGTCTTTTAGCTCTGATCCATCAATCTGCACAGTGGTAGTTCAGAAAGCAGTTTCGTGAAGATCAATCGCTGTCTAAGCAAATCACCCACGGTCATTCCTTCATTATTATTCTTCTTCTTCTTGCTATGACCATTATATACACATATAATCTATAGACTAATGTGCACTTTGCAATGAAGTGTGACTGTTACTCTGAATTTCCGATTGAAAAAAAATTAGCGGCTAAGGCCACTTTTTACAACAGCTCAATCGTTCCTCATTATGTGGAGTTATATTATTACGTTCACTTATGTGGAAAGTCGATTTAAGTAAGACGAATAAAAGCATAGTAAGCACATGTGTGCTTGCTATGTACATGTGTAAATTTTAATCTTTGATAATTGAAGTTGAATCAGGCTCAATCAAGATTGAATTCTAGTGCCTACTTAGTTCTGCCTCTCTGTCGACCAGAAAATATAATTACATAAAATGATTCATATTCTCAATGTCACAAACGTGTAGTGAATCCTTCACATAAATATCACCTTAGCTATATAGCTTTCTCAAGTTTCCATAGCCTCAAATTATGCCTGCTCTCTTCCCTAATACGGGTTATGAAGTTGTTTTTTTTTTCTAAAAGATAGAATCTCTATTTGAAGTAATCATTTGATTTTCTAATTGATGGCCGCTGAAATAAATAATGCGAAGGTATAGTGGCGTGCACTTAGATTGCTTACTCTTTTATTCAAAGGTGGATTATGGAAACGGCGCTGTGTTGCGTCTTGGCAATACTTTGACGCCGACCCAGGTAAAAAACCCGCCGACTAGTGTGACTTGGCCTGTAGAAAATGGAGCCTTCTATACGTTGGCCATGGTTGATCCGGACGCTCCGTCCCGAGAAAAACCCACGCTGAGAGAGGTCAAGCACTGGCTGGTGGTCAATATTCCCGAAATGGATATCGGCAAAGGAGAGGAGATCGCCGGTTATCGTGGCTCGGGACCCCCTAAAGGCACTGGTAGGTCCTCGAATACCACGCTGTCGTAACGAAAGCTGGAGCAATAGCGATGGTCAGAAAAATTAGTTCCTTTTTGTTACTTTCCAATGATCCTTGGATTAGCATCCAGATTCACCCACTGCCTTTTGATTGGAGATTGTTTGATTAAAATAAGCACACTTTGTTGCAAATCTCTATGGTCAAATATTCTAAACAGACTAAAATTTTGTTCGATACCCTTTTGAAATTGCGGCCCTAACGAATTGCACTCATCGAATTACCTGTATTACATCTTTAGGACTGCATCGTTACGTAGTCGTGGTTTACAAACAACCGGGTCGCATCGAAGTACCTGATAAGAAAGTGGCTAGTTCCTCGCGGGCGGACCGCTATCACTGGAGCCTTAAGGATTTCGCTGCGAAATATAACCTAGGCGATCCTGTTGGGGGTAACTTCTATCTCGCCGAATGGGACGCATACGTTGATACTATCCCTAAGTAATGTGTAACGAATATTGTTTCACCCCTTGCCCTAAGAAGATGTTTTGTTTAAAGTGCGAAACATAAAAAGTTAAAATGAGGAGCACTTGTGACATACCAATTATAAAAAGACTGGATGTTCCACTAGAAAAGAGCAGTTGTTTGCAATCGAAGAGCCAAAAGAAGGAAGGAATAAGCGGCTTAACGAAGCAGATTCAGGTCCTCGTCAATGCATTCTAGTAGAACCGGTAGTGAAGCGTATTATGTAATTGTTAATATTGAATCATATAGAAAAAAACTAATAAAAGCATATTTATTAATATTCAGCTTTTTTCGATGAATTATATAATGTAATCCAGCGCTTTTAATGGGTTCCAAGAAGTGTAGCGTGATAATAATATTTGACCAGTTCTATTAATTGTTTTTTCATAAAACAATATAATTATCGACGATGTATATCTGTGCCAGATCAGTGTAAGTAAGGTCAATAGACGAGCGTCATACTTCATCATACGAGTTATTAAATATGTCAACTTATTTTTTCAACTGCATAAAGATAAAAATCGATATATGTCAGCTCTGTAATTCCAGTGAAGCTAGATAAAAGACAGGTGCTCATTAAATAGATTTCTCCATTTTTCTCTGCAGTTGATATTAGCGAGACCACATCTTTACTCATTTCTTATTTGGTACCGCTTAGGGCGAAATCGCTTTTAGAAGTTCATGTTGTTGTAAGACTACCTGAAGATATCGTCAGCGATGTCCTTGATTTTCCAAAAATATGGTACTCAAAAGTCTCAGAAGAGACGGGGGCGTTCAGTTTTAGTGTGAACTGAGGGTCAGGATCAGTCCAATCAACACGATGGCAGTACCGTTATTTAGCAGGAATGATTGATTTCACATTTAATAGATTATACTTATTTTGCTGTTCTTTTCTTTTCTTTTTCTTTTTTTACTAGCCTTACGATTAGCTAAAGTGGGCCGTTTATGCTGGTTTTGACCCGAAAAACCATTTCAATTCAGATAGGACAGATTGTTCAAAAATAGCGACAGATTTGAATATATGCGAGCCTCACTACTTTTGCAATAGCGTGCGAGTTTCGTAAAAACGTTCGTTTTTTTATCAGAAAAACCGAAATTATGGCACCACACACCGTCCGTATCGTACTGTATAAACAACCTTCGTATATTTTCTCATTGATTTTCACAGCTGACACCCCTCAGCAGCAGTATTACACGTATCTTGTGATATTGCCTATGGCGGAATATATATCTTTAAATCTAGTCGTCCTCTATCTGCCACCCGATGATCTAGACTGTGCTTGGCCAAACTACAATATGTACACTAACAGGGCCGCTTTGGTACATTGAAATATTTACTCCGGACGGATAGTCCTCTCCGATAAGGACTCATCGTCAAAATCAGTAAGTTCATATTTTATGGTAGGCGATACTGTTCGCTCGTAATAGCATTGTTTCTTTATTTGTTTGTCGTCTAAAAATACGGTTAAAAATAGGACGAGCATACGGTACTGATGGCATGCCTCAATCTCGTTGGTGCAGCCTTTCATTACCGATGACGCATCCTGAATCAAATGGCAGAACTGACTGAACTCGAGGCCCTTCTGGAAATGCTGCCGATCGCATCGAAATCTCACTCCATGCCAGGGGATGTTATTGTTGTTCCTATTTGAGTCCATAATGTTTTTGAGACAGTAGTGTAACATATAATCTGCTGCTTAAGTCTGAATGATGGCACATACTGCTTTTGGTAAGTTATTCTAACTGGGTGGATCACTTTCGATTGAGTTTCAACTTACTCAACTTTAGCTAACAGTTTCACTTAGCGTTAGCGACAGAGAACAACTGGCCAGCTCACTTCAACTAACCAATTGTTACGGCTAAGCTACCATCGTAAATCTTCACTATTATTCGTATCGTAGACGGCTATACTTGGGAAACGGGTCTAACTTAACATAGCTTGGACTGTTGTCATACATAAACGATTCCTCGTTTAAAATAACAGCTCTTAGAAAAGCTATTTAGAGTAGAAATACAAACTTTCCTATATCTGTACATTTTCAATGGAACCGTTTACCCCTAATGCCCAAATGTGTATTTAGTAGAAAAAAATGTTTACCTATTATCCAGAAGTTACCTATTATCGACGGAATGCTTCAATTTTATCTGCATATTATCAAGGCATGGCGTTCATCCGTCATTTCTCATTACGAAGATACGTAGTGCGCATTAAATCCAGGTTTTCTCAAGTTACAGCACAAGTGGAACTGTGCTCGACTGTTAGAAATGTAGTCAATCGCCTAAGGTCTACGAAGAACCTGCTCACTAAACTTCTACGATTAAATAATGCATAACAAACTTTATTTTAAGCAAATGTTCGAAATCGTCCAGAATTAGGTTTTTTTTAATTGTATCTATTGCTTGGAACATCAAAGGACTATAATACGTTTGTCTAGTTATGTTTATATTTGATCAGAAAGTTTGGCCAAGTGAGTCAATCTTCCTACCTGTGCGCTCCTATAAAATTTCAGCAAATAACTTATATGGGTACCCCTGACTCAAGCTGTGCCATGCGATTATTCCTTTTTCTAAGGGATAACTAACTGACAAAGGAAGGGTCTTCGCTTTTTATTTTATAATTGCAAATTTGGTTTATGTGTTTAAAGGATATCTTCGAAATACCCCTTGAGGGTACTGAGGATTGATTGCCAGTTAGATTAAAGTCATTTAGTAAGTAAGGTATTTCTAAGCGTTATCTTTCGACTAGCTATGTAATAGTTATTAGCTGTGCTTTTTATTTAACTTTTTTTTTCCAAAATGTACACAGACAATCGCCCCTACTTTTCCGAGTGTGTAGTCAACTGGCAGACAATACGATAACCGAGAAGGCTTTTTGGGAAAAACTTACTCCCAATTATACAACGTTCATACTTTAAAGGAAACATATCCTAAAAAGGAACCGTATTCATATTACATACAAAAACGTTGTGGGTAGAGTAAATATTATATGTCTGAGCGTCTGCCAATAACTGTTTCAAATTGAAGTATCCATAAAATTAATTAGGTAATAATAGACTTCTATATAATAACCTGAGCTCAATAAGGCAAATTTCTGCGGGGATATATAGGTATATGCTTAGTAATATTTGGACGCCTAAATAACCTAACAATTCACCTGGAGTAAGATTTGGCTTTTAGAAGAGAGACCTCTCCACAAGCTAGCTTTGGTAAAACACCAATTATCTATTTTTATCATTTATGACCGTAGGCTTTTGGAAGTTAAGAGTTAGCAATAAGACAATTACTTCACATGATATCGCCATAAATTTTCCCTCGAACTTACTCATCATGTAAGTGGAGCTAAACAACGTTTCGTGGATCTAAACTAAGCAAATATGCCCAAACGTTTGTACTTAATATAGTCACCGCTTACAGTTTGTGTTATATAAAATCTTCAGATCAATGCATTACCCAATTTAATAAATACGCTAGATATCTTGTTTTTGATAACAGAGGCTATCTTATGATATGCGCGGACTTCTGAAGCGAAGCCGAAAATGCTCGAAATTGTTTATTGGACCCCTAGATACACCGATATGTCTGAATTTTGAATAGTACATTCAATATAACATGTTTAAGAGTTTTTTTTTTTTTGTAAATCAATACCATGTCACAATCTTTCGTATTGCAAAGATCACTAATACTGCTACGTCTATTGTTCTCGGTAGAAATTCAATGATGAATAAACAACATGAACAGTTATACGTAAATACAGAGGTTCAATAAATGGATCACAACTAATTTTACTAGATAGCTCTGCGTGTGTACCGCATGTGGTGATGGCCTCTTATAGTTAAAAAAAAATCAGTGACGTTGATTATTTATTGATTTTAATGTAGAGGTGCGTATCATTACATGCTACTCGTATTTTAGCATAATTATAGGCCACTTCCATAGTCATTCCTATCGCTATAAGGACTAATTAACTTCTCATTATCATATAGGCTTCGTAGCAGAAATCTTCTTCCAAGGAAGTATGAACCCTCTGCTTGATTTCGCTTTGTTACATTTTCGTGACATACGTGTTTAAGATTATAATATGTAGCTTTAGAAGTAAAAAAAAGTAGAAGGTAAAAGTATGTGAGCAGGCTTGCTTCGCTCGAGCTGGGCATACGTTGAGGACAGCAAATGACGAGGTATGTCACCTTCGATCACACTAACGATTGTGCTTACGAACGTATTTCAGGCTGGATAATAGCTTAGTTAGAGTAGCGAAATTCTAAGCAAAAGAAAACAAATGATACAAATACGGTTGTATGGAATTAGCTCCTTGTAGACTTACAGATGTGAATGGTTGGCATTGATTCGTGACCTATAATATGAGCTTTCGACACCGGAGTTTGCCGGTGTCGAAGGCCGGTGTCGAAGCTTACCGGAAGCTGCCATTTTGGAAGAAACAGTTCGACTACCAGAGAGCTGTGGAATAGAATAAGCTTGGCACGACCTATCAACGGTGGGTTACGCTGACCTTGTCCATATGAACTGTTTGACTCAGTATAAATTAAACGCACGTTTTGCCATACAATATTCCATATAATAATTTGGCTTTAGATGAACCATTTGAACAATTGCCAACGTGAACATGATAGTTTGCGACGTTTGTAACAGAACAACCTCTCAGTTTATACTTGTGGGCAACCAATATACAATTTGATTAATTATAACATGCTTTTTAAGGTTTTAAGGCGATTGTTTTTCAAGGTGCGGAAGTCTAGATGTAACTGTTTCAGTTGAAACTTCTAAGATTACGCGAAAACGTACGGCATCCATAACAGAATTACATTTGGCTGGTATTTCCTTTATGGTATTTTTTTTTTCCTTAAAACGTTCTTACACATATAATGTATGACGGCGTTTTGCAACCCTGTTAAGAAATCGATTTTAAAATTCATTCATTAATACTTCACTGCAATAGAAATTTTAAGTCGATAAGTTAATTAATCGACTTTAACAATTACACTTTTTTTTCCATAGCTGAACAGTTAGGATCAACTCGAATCTCTGTACAGCAAATTCTACTTGGACATGTTGTTTCGGATAAAAAACGAGAACATCAATGGATGGAGGGGCGCGTACATTGATTTGTGTGTTCAGTTTAAAAAACTCGGACTGTTAATCTATGAAAATGGTTGATCTACTTCATCGAACGTTGCCCTTTAGTAGCTTACTTTTATATCATTAACCCAAATGTAGAATACCTCGTGTGCGTGAACTTACTTTAATATTTAGTATTTACTAGTGGAATATACAGGCTGATTGCGACATGCGATAAATATTAACTTACCAGACGCCCATTTGTCATTCGTAACTGGGTCTATAGCAGGACTACATGCTTAAATGAAAGTTTCATTGCTTATTATTTAACCTTGTTATCTGAGTCTATAGATTATTTAGTATTTACACAATACTTAATCAATAGATGCGACATAAGACAGACTAACACTTTATATTACAAGCATGCTAGAGCGTAAGGCAAACAATTTATTCGTTCAAAATGATAGTCAGCTTCCTAACTGCATTTCTAATACATTCACTACTCAATTTAGCATTCTTAGAAGGAGATTAAGTAATCTTTACATATTTATATATGGATAATTTGAAATGTATACGCTCGATTGTTTCACTTATCTTCCTTTAGATCTTCCGTTTCTATTTTATTACTTCGAACTGTGTTATGTTCGAACTTACTACGCTTAGTTGAATCTTCGTACACCGGTAGCACTTCTTCGGCACTCGTCGTTCATTTCATTCGATTGTAGTAATTTTTTCCTTGTTAACGCTTGAATAATCTAATGGACGTTCTTCAAAGATTTGGCGCAAAACTTTGAAATTCTGTCTGCCGTACACACACACTGTAAACATATTCCAAGGAATCCTCTAGCGTTGCTACCCGAAATCGGTTTTCTGTGGCCTCTGCCCTTGGCTGCGCAGAAACCTCGTGTACATTTGGCAAATCAGAAATAATGAAAATACTTGTATTTTGGTAGCTTTGTCTACCGTCAACTTGAGCTTATAGCATAGCACGAATTCAACTTATCGCTTGGCTCGCCTGAGAGTAGCTGCTGGTAGTTCTTTTCGGGCGACAATTAATCAGGCGGAGTCGGCACAAAGTTGCACAGCAAAAAAACCGACAGTACTATGGCCTGGCGTCCGAGAGAAAGAACCGATTTGGTTCAGTCGAATGTTTTCACTGTCCTTACGCAGCCTGCTTCTAACAGCCGTTGTTAATTCTGCGCCAGGCTGTAAGTTGACAAGTCCAAACAACATTTCAACAAGCCTCAATCAGCTAATGTGTAGAATTATTCTATGCTGCCCTTTGAATAGGCGATTCATCTATTTAACACACTGGATGGCTAAACTTCACTAGTTTGATTAAATATTTGATGCAAATAGAGGATGCGGTAGCAGATGTTTATTGCATAGGGCGACTGGTTTTAACGGCGTAAGTAAACGCGAACCGTTCGTCAGGGCAGTAGCAACAACTTAAGTTACGTTTTATCATTCGTATTGCCAGTCTATGGTCTAGACACGCCGGTTCAATTCGATGTATATATTTTGTATGCGCTTCATCACATATTTTTTTGGTTTCGATTTTGTGGTTTGGCGACAAAACGCTCATGCATTTTTTTCAAAAACTCCAGTTTCTTCTTGTGGGATCACCATTTTTATGTGGCCTTCAGCTACGATTAGTTTTCAATCGGACTTGACACACAGGATTGTCCACGGTAGCTGAATGATTCGAAAAGGAAAGCTTGAGGGATCTAGAAATGCCACGATCCAGTTCGCGTTAAAATTTTATAACGCACGGTATTTATTGTTTTAACTTGAGAATGTTAGATATCACAGCAAGCGACCAAGTGTTTTATAGCACTCGAAAGAGGCCAGCGCGATAAAATAGCTGTAAGATTGGTTAGCACCTATGGATAACCTAGCTGGGCATGATTTAAGTCGGTTGAGGGCTTACTTGGAGAACATTAACTACACTATCATTTTTAACTATCGAATATGTTCGCAGGACTTATAAAAAAAATAAACATATTAGAAAATTATTGTTTGTCGCGGTAAGTTTACATGAACCGCGGAAGTTTCGTATTTTCTAATATCTGTGTTTTCTCACGCAGTATGGGTTAATCAAATACATCTTTATTAAATTTACACAAAAATAACTTCAGGGGGGAGGGGGGGGGCAAGTGCACATTTTAATGAACGCATTGCCATGGCAATTATACAGACGACCATTGCAGATTCAATTCTCAACTCTGATAAAAGGTTAGCGCGATATGCGATAGGTCAATTGTGCAAATTCCAGATAATAAATTTTGCAGAATTTTTCTAAGCTAGATTTTTTAGGTGAGTAACAAGTCTTCGATGCTGCAACGAAAAGGTAACTTAGAAGACCTGTTTACAGAGTACCAATAACTGATGATATTAAAAAATCTAAACCTAGTACTACCGATCAGTAGGCATTTGACCGTTTTTGATCTTTTGCAAATTTTTCTTACATACCACGTCGGTGATAAGCTTGATACTATCAAAACGGCAGCAAAAAATATGCGTTTGATTATAAAAGCATTCACTTTCTAAGATCGATCATTTCCTGTGGACGCGGTAATTGTATACGCGCGGTTGTATAGACTATCAAAAGTATCGATAGATTTAGTGTTGAAGAAACTGCCTCACGAAGATCAAGCAAACCAGAACAGTGACGATGATGCCGACACCAACAATAAAGGCTGTGCTGCGTCCTATTCAGCACGACATTTTGCACCGCCAGGGTTGTCGTGGCTGAGACACTCTTGCACACATATGCACGAGTAAAGTTCGCCTTGCACGGACGTTCCCGATGTAGAAGAAAGGGAGCGCCAAAGTGAGGACGGGTGCGAAGCGATCTTAATGTTTGGTTGGCAGTGAGCTTCCTAGTTTCCTAGGTTGCACCTAGATATATATGATGACTTTGGCGATGATGATGGCAGTGGTAGTAACCGCAGAAACAGGGCTTTGAATGCGGTGCTGGTGCCGGCATTTAAAGCAGCGCTGACTGCTACGAGACTTTCGTTCACTTCGATCTGGAAACGCAGTCAGGCAAGCTGACAGGCAGGTTCAAGCCGCAGAGATCACCATGTAAATACAATTCAATTCAAATGCATAATTTAAAACAAAAAAGAAAATGAGGTATTTAAAGAAATGTAACTTATACAGCTGTAAAAAGCTAGGTTCATCTGGTAAAGGCCTCATGTAGCTACATGCATCTCTTTGTCTCTAGGTGTATTGAGATTTTATCGAAGCAGTCTAACTTGAATTTCTCTACACAAAATAATCTGTTAAGTCTCTTTGAGAACTAGACAAACTTCTGGCATTTCAGATCTCATTACTGGCAACAACAGAAACATTTTTTAATTTTTAAATTAAATGTGAAATACATTTAATATAAGTGAATAAATTTACTTAACTTTTAAAAGATTGCTCTCGCAGTTGGCTTGGGTTATCGTCTGCAAGCAGATTCTCAGACCTGCTGTTGAGGAACTTGAGCTTAAGACCCTTTTCATTCTTAAATATACTGTGAATATATAACGAACATATATAGAAATTCATATATATATATATATATATGAATTTCATTCGGCAGTGACAAAAAAAAAGATTAAAAAAACCGTCAGCAATAGAAACAGAGAAATATGGTGGGCGTGAAGATAACATCTGCTTAAGTTCTTGCAGGACAGCCTTAATGACCTTCGCCACACGTGGCCTAGCATGTCACGGATAAGTATGACTTTGCTATCTTACCTGAGTCTTTTCTGTTGTATTGAGCTATTTCCGTTCAACCAATACGACTAGTCTGTATATAGATCCTTGTTATTTCTTTTGCTTTTCACAAGCATTTCACAGTTACAACACCTTTCCGGTCCCACCAAAGGCAAATCACTTTTTTTATGGAAAATGGTTCAGCTCAGAACTTAGGCCTATCCTTCAGGGCTATTCATCGTTCTATGTTTCATATCGACGCGGTGACACCACTTCTCGTCACCCTCCAGAATGCTTTCGATATATTGAAGGGTCATGAGAAGCAATGCCATCTTGTGAACTTCAGTTTGTATGTGGGGCCTCCAGGCTTCTAATTTTTGATAAAACCCCAACTATATTCGAGGTATTTGGCAAAATTCAAGTGTTTATCATTCATACTATCCGCCAGTTACGAAATTGCTTGCCATTTGAGGTTCTCATCGAGTTCAGATGCTTGACCGGAGTGAAGTACATCCCCCAGCTCCCAAATTCCTTCTTTGAACTTAAAAAGTTTCTTCGAGCAGTCCTCTTTGGTACAAAGTCTTTGCTGTACACAGCACAAATATCCTGGACTGGTTCATCAGCTTTGCAACTTCAACTAAAGGCAGGATCGAGTAGATTCATTCAAAAATGCTTTTCTATTATTTATTATTAATTATTATTATTAAGTTATTAATTTTTCACATAAAGTTCCACTCATTGCACCACAAAGGTATAAAGGGCGATTACAAGTAATACAGAGAACATTTTTAAATGGCATATAGGACTAGACAACAGCGCCCTCTACTTATGTTACAACCTAAGACATATACAGAGCAGAAAAGTCACGTCAACTGTGGAAAAATTATTTATACCGTGATTTCGCTCACTTCACATCCATCACGCACAACAGAACGTATAGCTAGTAGCTCGATGTTCCATAGGAATCCTTTACATTCCGGCCGATGACTAAGAAAAGAATAATGTTATGATGTTCGGATGTTTAAACGACACATTAGTTACACTACCTCAACATATTAAAGAAAGTGTTTTAACATGTTTTACTTTTAGCGGTTGCTTATTTTCTCGTTCCTCATTGCGCTATAAATAATAAACATGGGCTATCTTAAAGAATATCTGGTAACCTGTTTCAAAACGTATATTTATTAAAGTTCTTAGTGGACCCATTTCCGAAGGCGTAAACTTTTCGCATCGATGTAAACAAAATTTTATATCGTCTTTTAAATTCGTCGTTTTTGCAGGCTGTTCTTTGATTCTGATTTGGCAGCTTGAGCCGTTTCCAGTAGCAGAATGCTTAAGACGTTGCGCCTGCTCTGAAACAGATACAATATTTGAGGGTAGTTATATAGATGCTTATATGTAGAGGCTTAACAGGATTTCCATCTATGGAAATATCTATTTCTATTAAACTGTACAGGACACGACGGCCGCGACCGTGACCATGACTATCGTATACAGAATCTATTTGAAATAACACAGCTTCAGTCTGCCTCTAAGGCTACGGTAAGGTTTCCTATCTTTTCCATGCAACAATACTGGCACGCCCATCGATAGCTCAACTTCGAAATGACTGATCCACTATACTTTTTCAGACAGGCTGTTGGCCATTGGACTACTCGGATCCCTGATAGATATGTAAATGTCATGAAAAGATATAATGTTCGTATCATGGCAGCTGAACAAAATGTTTTGTCTTAAAAAAAGGCTGACCACGACGATGGTACGAATATTTGGTTTATGTACCATCAGTAAATAACTAAACAAATCAATGTTTCCTCTACTATTTAATAAAATTGAATAGTTGAATATTGATAGATTCTATGTTAAAGCTTCTACTTTTTACAAGTGTTGATCACTGCGTGTATTGAGTGGTAACCAGTCTGTTTTTGCTGATTTTATGGATATCTGTGTGTTTGGCATATACATTTGTATAAATTTTAATAACTACAAGTAGTTAACTGTAATAACATAACAAGAAGAAGATTTTAATAATAATAATAATTAAATTGTACGAGGTGCGTGGACTGAATGATCTCTAGTATGCGTCAGGTGCCATACCATATCTGGTTTCCTCATGAGGTCAAATGTTTTCTTCATGACAAATGATCTGTGTTTATATTCACCATATTTCTGCTATGTTTATTTATAAATGTTGTTGTATGATAAAGTAAAAGAACTTAATATGGCCATACATTTGTGGAACACACCGCATTACCAAGTAACCACTTTAGCTCTAACTATTTATAAATAGTTTAAATAACAACATGGCGATATTTAATTATTCAACAATTTATTATTATTAGTCAATACTCAGACGCATTTAATATACGTAGATAAATACCCATAACGTTATTTCTGTTGCTCTCCATTATACCAACAGTTGATTTGGACATCTCATGGACCGTGCAAATCATCCCCCGTAAAACTGGAAATTTCACTTACCAATATTGCTCATTGAACTTCAAGTATAATATATTTAGACGTCCCAAGTGTGACATAGTTTCTCCTTTTCACGGAATAACCTCACACTGCTTTTAACTAAATAGCATATATATATATATATATATGTATATGTTACAGATAACTTGCTTCACTTGCGCCTGTCATTGTGTTTAAAACATTTATCAACAAATCGAACCGTTTAATAGACATCAGGAAAGACCCTGTGGAACGTTTTTCATGCAGTTGTTGGGCGGTTCGGTAATGGGTAATCAGGTCTTAGTAAGGGCAACAGCCCTCAAATATTTTGGTTCTTGCAATAAAGTCGGTCCTAGTCCTAGCTAACTCACTAGAACTAGAATGGCGAAGTTTGACGTTAACGTCAGGTGGTATGTTCTTGCAGCGAGTAGCATAGGATGGATAGGGACTCACGTAGAGAATTAGATAATTTTTCTTCAAATGAACTTCATGCAAAGTTAATATCAGCATTCCTTGTATCGTTTCGATGATACGGTTAAACGAAACTGTCTAGCCTTTTTTTACTTCAGAACTCACAGTCTGACTGATAAACTATTTTTTATAAGGCCCATTTTTCTGGTGGGAACGACTGGAAAACTTCAATCCATTCAAAACTGTCGTCAAGCGCTGAAACCTGTCACGGTGCTTTCGTGACTCCTTCAAGAAAATAATTGCCTTTTTGCCTCTGATTTCCTTTACTAATTCTAATAATTTGTTGAAACATTTACTGGCAGCTTCAACAGTATTTGCTGATTCGGATCGTACGTAGAAGCGTGAACAGCTAATTAACTTTATCATCTCTTTCGGAAAACGACTCAGCCGTAAGTAAGTTAATATTTTCAGGAATATTTTCTTTTTACAGATTATTAACAGAAGCACCCAATCAACGAAACGGTTAACGCATGCGACCGTTGTGTTTAACGGTGACGTGCGTGCACGATCTAGCTTAATCTTGTTCTTACTATATCAATATAGGCTAGTTCTCCATAGATAAGCTGCTATAGAAAATTGCACTTTGCCGAACACGCGGCATTCTGTGTGTACAGCATAAAAGCTGTATATACTGCGATTTTTAAAATATGTGTACACAATGTTAGCAGGCATATAATGACAGCCGCAGAACTTCCTTATACGATCGAATTATTGAATGAATTTATATTGCTCACCCTTTAAAGCAGGAGGCACCACGTTTCGGTATCATTTTCTCTTACTTTTCTATGATGTATTATCTCATGCCTTATTGAACCTCTCCTTCAGATCATTAATTACCAAAAACTTCGTCTTGTGTATCCCACTTTTCGCAAAAACTAGAAGCAGCTCACCTGAATTCTCTGGCCAAAAAAACAATGCCTATTAATTTTCAGTTAAGCTGAGAACCCGGCTTACACCCCATCTGTTATGGTCTATGGCCAGCACCATTTTTGTTTCAGTGGAAAAACCATGCATCACATACGGCCAATTGTGTCCCCAAAGGGATTGTTTGTGAATGCTTTAAGGATTCTAGATAAGTATATATGTTTAACGTTTACTTACCGACAAAATAAGTTACCGGAACAGCGGTGCGGTGCACAACGGCGTCTTAACAATTAGGTTGAAGAAGGAAGATTTTTGTGAAAACCTCAACGAGTTCAATGTCTTGTCTCCAATCCACCGTAAGCTAACACACCGCTATTTGTATCCGGAGTATGGTTGAAACATTGTATTGAATTTAGCAAATCCTCTACATCTATAACAGACAATCCAGCACTTATCGCGATGAGTATACCTTTCAAACCTGCAGGTGTTATATACGCCGCCTCATGAATTTACCCTAATTTCTTAAAATTTCCCTCGTTAGTTCATTACAGAAACTTCTATATAGAGTTCAAATTTACTTCACGCCCAGCGCCCATCACTTTTAGCTGAACAACACTTAGATAAAGTGAAGGAAAACACTAAGTAATATTAGATTTTTTCCCATAGACTAAGCAATTTTGGCGTAGCTTAAAGGAACATTCGGATTTCAGCTCAGGTGTGCAATGGACAACAAACAAATTGCTAGGGACCTCTAAACTGCCTTACGCACTAAATGACCATAGCATACTTTGCTACGTAAAGCTGAGTAATAGTTAACTGGCCGTCATCGACTAGTTCGGCCCGTCTATTGCTATTACATAATAGAATGCAACATAATTCAAAGTACTTCAAGTAAGACCATTTCCTCCCGTCAAGCGTACCCATTTATGCAGGGCGAAATCGATTCCTCTTTGGACTGTAACCACATCGAGACGAATAGAAAATGCAAAAAGTATTTTACCTTGAACTTGTATAGATTTCTACGCGTGGTTGTTGATCTGGCCGTCAGTCGTGTATAGCGGCAGACACTCCGCGTAGTCGAGCTGGTGCAGCTGGTATGGATTAAAGGAAGCGCCTTGTTCTAGCATTTTCCAATTCAGCTTTAGCTGTTTGGTGCGAAGCTGCATGATCGTGTCCAGTTTCGGAGTTGAAGATTCTTTGACCATAGTTGGCGATAATCCCGCTAGCAACGAAACACAAGGCGAAACGACAGCGAACAGAAGAGGACGGCTGCCTGTATTTACGTACATACGTTTTCACATGTAATCGACCTTGCTGTATCTATTGTTCCCCTGTGGGGTAGAAAGGCATGAGCAAAGGAAGACGCTTGCTATTTTTGACCGTGATAGAGCAGCGATATGAGAAACGTCGCCTATTAGAGTTCAAGTCGATGACAATGGTATAATTTCACAAGGAGTCATAGTGTACTCTGACCATCTGCAGCTTGACTTTTTAAAATCATTTTAGAGCTAATGGCTGTGATAAATTTAATTGTTCATAGTTGATGTCCGACATAGCCACAGCGATCGAACAGAAATAGACTTGATATATTACAGGGTAAATCCTAATCATAAATTTGTTCGAAGGTACATAGAATATTTAACATCTGTCTATACTAGATAAAAATTATCGAAGTTGTTTTTTTGTTATCGTTCACTGACAGTAACAAGTGGATAAACCCTGAACGCGAATTTTTAGTTTGAACGAAAGGCACTTACCGCTATTGACAGAAATAATAGGATCTTCTTTGAATTTATTGGAAAACGTTCTTTAATACGATCAAGCTAGCACAAACAAAACCATAGCATATGGTTTCGTTTTATTGCAGTACGTTTCAATTAAATAGCAACGAAAAAACGCGGTACTGTATTCTTAAAACAGTTGGATTGTGACTTTGCATATATAAGTAAACTATGTAGTCCAATTGAAATTGGTCCTATCAGCCACAACAGATAGCATCTTATGGTCTTCGTCAATTAGGGGTTCTACCCTCGCCGTGATCACAGTAACCGCAAAACGGAACAGATCGCGTCTGGGGTAGCACAAACTTTTCGAAAAAAGAAGTTCTTGTTCAAGCCAGTATCTTCAACAATTATACATTTAAAGAAAAGTAGGGCTATATGGGCTAGTCCGTCTCTTTTAGGCTGGGAACATTGATGTAAAACTGCAATATAATCAAACACTTTTAAGTTCAGTAGTGAGTACGTATATGTGTCAATTTAAATGAAGCTATCGTCGTTTCGCATTTGTTGACCGGCGTTTTGGCCTCCCAGGGTCCCGCTTCACTCAGCGGAGCACAATTTCATGTAGACCTATGCTATGCAACATTTTTCTCTTCACTTAGTTCTTTGCATAAATGGGATTATATATGCCACGTGGGGCTATATGAGCCAGTGACATACCTACCTTTACATGGTGCTCTTTCAAAAAAAAATGTATCGTCGCAGCGCATTTAAAGCATATAGGACACGAGACTTTGACTACGCTGGTAGGTTTTGTTTGCCATTGCAGGGCTTGTCTCCAACAGCAGCGCGTAGTAAATCATGGTTGATTATACCTCACCTTTCCTAATATGTATGGTTTTAGCATGACTAGCTAAACATAGCAAGGATCGTGACCCAAACATGGAGGTTGACACCGAAGATCAAAAAGAATGGGTGGAGTGATCTACCATCTGACCCAGATTTTCATCGGCCACTCCTATCTCCAAGCATATTCTCGTAGAACAGAAAACGTCCACTACCATCAGACAGAAGGGGGCAAAAATGCGTCTTCGAAAAGTGCAAAAATTGAGCCTTCTCAAGTCATGCAATTAATGGTTCCCCTCACGTCTCAAGAGTACTAACATAAGCACCGATGGAGGATGAAGATTTCAGGAAGAAGTGAGACTATTAAGGTGCTACTGCGGTCGGAAAATGCGGGTCTAAGCTTTACACCACTCCTGAAACTGAAGCCCAGTGTTACATTCCCACCCAAAGAAAATACGACACCTATGTTATATATACATTTTTTTTTTTGGTGTAAATAGAAGCGTCGCAGTCTACGTGATAATCTATAGAAACCATTGTTTTATAATGCTAACCTTCCTTAAATAATAAAAAAAAAAAACACCTTCTTGATATATAATCGATACTGGTGCATTCACAGAAGCTCAATGCCTAAATGCTATCACTACAGAACTAGAGATTGAGAAACATTGACGTAATATCACAGAAAATGTTGTGGTCGTCTATATCCGCTGAAAAGCAAAATTCGTTTTGCGATTTAATAGCTCATCTAAGTAACAAAAGACCTATGCTATCATTACAACGTTTGCTCGCATTTGGCTGCACCATCTGACCGATAAACTATCTGTATATTTTTCCTCTGTCCTTTTGTTTCGTCCTGCCATTTGTCGGAGCAGAATAATCCAAAGTAGTGGCATTTTTTTTTTGCATCGATATGTCTTCGATTCGAAACTCGCTTGCTTGATTATACATACGTATATATATATATATATATATATATATATATATACTTTTGGCAGATTGTAACGTCGATGTTACTCTTGACGTCAGAGTTAACTTAGGAATCGTACAATCAGAGTTGTAAGACGTCCATTGTTTTCGAGATGGTAACGATAATGCGCTCAAACGATTCTCACGTTTTTTGATGCCTGATTGCTTCTCTATGCATAACAACATAAAAATTTCAAACTTGCACCACAATAGGATATTGCACTGTGGATAAAACCGTGACAAAAACCTGAACGCATGCTTTAAATTCCTATAAAATTTCCATTAAGGGGATATTTCTTGAAAGTTAACAAAATAACCTAAGTTACAAGCACATTTTTTTTTTCTAGAGTTCACAGGTGCATCGTGAACAGAGCTTACTCTTAAGTTACATTTTAATTTTTCGCCTAATATGCACTTTTCAGCTAGGAGCCTTTTTCAGTACTATTACGAAAAGCCTGGGTCCTACACGCTTCATCTCGTGACAAGTCACTTCGTCCTGTAGATTCATGTCCTCGCGATGCAGAAGCAGTGCGGATCATTTGTACGCTTTACCCAAGATGTCTATGGTGTTTATTAACGGCTCCGATGAACCATAAATAAGAGTGAGCCTGTATGCCGTGAAATACCTCTAAGCAATTTCAATTTTCGCGGCAAATTTACGTCGTATAAACACTATTTTTTTTTTTATACATGAATAGATATACAATCAACTGCCAAACGGCTTTCGTTTGCCGAGTCGTACTTACATTTATGCATGTAAATGACCATGAACCGCGCAGCGTCAATTAAATACCATTGTAGTGTACGAATGATTTTATACTTTATAGGATTATATCTGCTCCAGTTTGGTGCGATAGCTCCATCCGAGTGACTCTATGGCCTAATTACACGTAACTTAGTGATTACTCTGAGTCATTCGATCTGTTACCGCCGACGAACTTCTAGTTAGCGGAATAACTCAATGCGTCGATCAAAAACCACACGAGAACTAGCACAACCTAAACCGCTAACAGCTACCTGCCGATCTTGGCCACCTAAAACACCTGCCTGTCTACGATAGACGCACGGGGACGGATTGGACGTTAATCAACCGGCCGGCTAATCGGCCGGGATTCTGAACATCGACCATTGTTGGACATCCAATATATGCCTACCAACTAAATGTTCTGAGGCATTCCACTGAGAGTACTTAGCGTCTGTGATAGGATAGTAAATTTTAGTCAAATCCTATTGATTTGTGCCATCTTCCGTTTTCCCCAGTGGTCGAGCTAACGACTGCCTATCGGACAAAACTCAATCTGTTTGATAACGAAGAGACGCATTGTAGTGGATGATCGTGTAATAATTTGCACAGTTTCACTGTGAGGCAGTTCATCGTATGTATATATATATATATATAGATATATCTATATGCGTGAGGAGAAAACGGATTGACCCGATGTAATTCTCTAGAAATCAGCAATAAAAAACAACGATAGACAATTACGACTACAATACCAATTGTGATGGTAAACGTGAATCGAGGAAATAATAAATGGCGAAGTACATCGCTGGAAAAATACTCAACAAATCTAAGAATAACGATGTCCAACCGAGCGAAGCTGGCGGGCCGTCGCGTATTAGCAAACTAGCCGTTCATCCTGTTTTTAGTTGCAACTAGATCACAATTAGGAATACCGCAGAAGCAAAATGCGTGTAAGACGATTTCGGTCGTTGCCTATTTGCTTGTTTTCGTAGACTGTTTTTTTCTCAGCAGTTTACTGTTTATCTACATAATGCTCGTTTCTTTTGCATGCCATCTGTTATTGACTCGTTCACCGGATAGCCGACAATTAAACAGGCGACCCATTTTATTAAACCACAAAAACGAATATAAACAACGTGTGCCGATACCGTACTAAAGAAGCTAGAAAATGATACAGTGTATTACAACACAATGCTATACAGCAGTTTCAAACAGTCTACTTTGCTTTTTTTGCAATCGTGTTCGACGTCTAAACTAAGTCTGATATATATATAAAGGTATCATTTAAACATGCACTTTCGACATCCTTAGTCGTCTTCAATGAAAAGAGTAGATGTTTATCGTTCTTTACGTAAGCATTGCTTACTGAGTACGTTACTCATTGCACGATCACGTCGTTCAGTGGTTGTATCTGAGATGCCTGATCGAAGTGGAAAACACAGAAGAGTTTCTCAAACTATATTCATTTTGATCCTTCTGCACCTTGTTTCGGCCTCAAAATCAAACAGTTATTACCGATACGTGTGCCTTTTCGCAGGTCGGGTTACGCCGACACGAAAGGTCAATAATAATGTGAAACTGAAACTGCAGAGTTACTGTGTCAACAATCTGAACTATCGTTTTCGGGTTTGTCGTCACTAGATACTGCCACCATCGACACACCCGCCACGGCCTAACCGACCTGCGTTGTCACTGACAACCCACGACCCATTTTGCTTTGGTTTTGTATCGTTCTCCTTATCTCGAGAATACTTACCCAACAGGTGTCTGTACGTTTGTTGCTTACCGAATGACAGACCATAAAGGAAATACTCATGGAGGGAAATTTGCTCTGATCAGGAGGCAACAATAATAGATGAATCTAGAAGTAAGTATAATGAAGGAGAGCCAAACAAAAAATGGTATGACCCGTGTGACTATATACTCAACAGAAGCTCTGATAGTGTTGCTTGTGACTGCCTTATTGTTGATGTCCACCGATGACGGCGACGTAAAAACGAGGGATGGACTGACTAGCCAATTTTATGTTTGCTTACATCTTGTTCTATTTGTGCAAAGCGTGAAAAAAAACAGTACAAATAACATTCGAACTGAAAAAGGGTGTCGCTCACATCTTCTAGAGATATTTGGACAGATAGAGAGCGACACTTTGATAGATTAATGGGCCGAGCATTGCCTTATTCTTAAGACATTGTACACTATGAGATGTTTCTATGTAGAAGACGGCGATGTATAAAAACATACCTTGTAACAAAAATGAGCTATATATTTCTTCGAAAAAAGGTTCAATACGTAAAGATCGTCCGCTGTTTTTAGTTTTTCTAGATTTCTCTATCATGTGACGAATGCTGTCGGGGCATACGTCTGTCGACATGCGCAGGTGTTTATTTTCTCCTCAAGCACTCTGTTATGAGTGAACTAAGCTTGTCTGTTATGCCTTCCTTTAGGTTTACTTTGCATTTGGATTCAAAGTAATTTCACGCAAACTATATGTCACACACGTTACAAGATGCTTCTCGAAGTGGCAGTTCTTATCTCAACATAAATGATTAACGCGAGTATATGAAGCTCTTACCGAAAGCTGGGCCGTCAGAAAGTGTATCAACAGTAACTCCCATAAATAATGTATGCTTTGAGAAAATCTGACTTTCTAAGTTGGTACCGAGTGACCTCTACGAAACAGAGTTGAGCTAAGTTACGAATCATCTCGTAACGATATGTCCAAATGAAATTTAACTTCGGCAGGTGTGTCATAAGTGCCGTTTGTTGTGGGCTTTCCATATGCTTTTAGAGGCTAGTAGTAGTGAATGGAAAGCTCCTTCCTATCACAGAGAGACCGGGTACAGATCCCGAGACCGACCAAACGGGACATGCGAAGAGTATCCACTTTTCGCTATACTATTAATAGAGCATTCAGAAGACTATAAGCCTCGATTGCATGCCTAACATGTGACTTGACAAGTCGGGCAAGCGTGGCAAAATACACTTCATATTTGAAACATACTGTTAATGTTTGTTTCAGTTGAAAATTCATTTTTCCAATTATACGTTCGATCGGAATGTTCATTCGTTTTATATTCAGTTCCTTCAATTGGTTACATGCAACGTCTCCGATTTGCAGACATTTCCCGATGAAGATTCGTTTTAATCGCTTATTATCGAACGTCAATTTTGAGACAAAACGGCAAGCAAAATGCGTATTCTACCCCTTCCTAATAACAGCGATTAGTTACCGACCGCCTACAGAAGTGGATTTGTGGTCGCCTGGAGTATAAATCAGGGATTGTTCAGTAACCAATGTAGAACCCACCATTAACCGTTGTACCACCTAAGCCTCTTAGGAGTAGAGTTTGAAGAAAGAAGGCCTGGAGCGAGCGACAGTAACCCGACAACGTGATTGTCGAGTTCCAACAAGAAGGGGCGAGGAACAGCTGCCTGCAAGGCTAAGATCAAGCTAGGATAGGTGGAGCTGGCCGTTTTCGGATGGAATAAGGCCCGACCGCTGGAAGAGCAGATGAGAAATACGACAGTGACCACGAAGTGGCCACGAATGACGGCAGGACACTGAGAAGGGGGACAGCCACTGCAACGACGGAAGGCCGGTAGAGTAGTACGATACACGCAGGCTAACTGTAACACAGGCAATGACAATGGTAGTGGATCTGTTTGCAATGTTGAGGCCAACAGTACAGCAACACACCCTTTCTAAACGGGAGACCTAGGGCACATAGTCTGTCCGCTGCTTCTTTGACGTCAGCCTTTCTGTCCTTATGGCCCTAGCTAGTTTTCGGTTTCCCTTTACGCAGCAGCAGCGTCATGTCCCTCCTCCCCGTCCTCACCTCCCTCTTCTTTGTCTTGTTTTCTCTAGCAGCGTCGCTTGACTTCGCTTACTGTATCGGCCTTTTCCTGCTCCGTTGACGCTATCCTACCTTTATTACTATGGATGCTTGTTGAAAGCCCTTCGAGCCGGAACTAACCGGGCGACGACAAGGACAGGGACGATAGCGCATCCTCGGAAGCAGCAACAATAACAGTAGACAGAGAAACTCTAGGAGTAGAAGTAGTAGTAGTGCCGGGGCATAGGATACGTATACTTCTTGACTTCGAACATCGGCAGGCCATTTCTTTTTGCGTTTAACTTCGACGGACCAACGCGGGCAGGGCAGCATAAACAGAGAAGCAGCCCGCGCGGGGGGGGGGGGGGGTAGTAATGTTGAACAGCGGATGTGCTGGTGGGGGACGACAAAAGCGTACACGAACACATAAGTGTCACTCTAATGCCTCTACATATGAGGCTATAGAGGGCCTTTATGAAACCGGGCCGGACCAAGCTTCAGGGCTCCCTAAATCTGCCCTTTGGTTTAGTCCATACAACACTAACCGAACAACAGAATCCACAAACTCAATGTCTACATTAGAGCCGCTGGTAGCAACACTAAGGACATTAGTAGCGTTTTCACAAAAGGTTCATTGGTTAAACTCCGCCTAAACGGCGGCAGCTTTTTGACGTGAGCTTTTTCGACCACCACAGAAACCCTTAGGGCTATGGCTGCGGCAGACTCACCTACCTTCGCTGCAGCTGCCCCGACGTCCTAATATTATCGTCAAGCCAACTCTGGGCGGCCAACCGACAATTCCTCGTCCAGCTGGTGATGAGTAATGTCGCTGAACGAGAAGTAGACGGCAACTAAAGAAATGCGTGAGAGCAAGCAGGGTTACGGACCATGTACGAGACCTACAGAATTGCTGGCTACTATCGGCTGGCGCGGCGAAGGCGCCAACAGGTAGGTAGCGGTAATAGCGGCGGCTGCACTGAACGACAACAAGGACAAGCAAAACGCGAAGGACGAAAGGCTGGCTCACTTTCACCTGCCGGAGGTCGCATCGATCCAAGGCAGCAAGGAAGGTCGCGCCGTTGTTGGCAGCCGTCGCTTCGGCAGCCTACCAAATATACCATCTTTAATTAGAATGGTTCAAAATCAGGATATGCACACTGTAAGCTGAGCCGACGCGACGTTACTGCACAACGCGATCAGGTTAGTCGTTCCGTTATCACAAACTGCCTTTTGAGGTTAGGTAATTTATGCTAAGCGATTACCTGTATGTTGCTGACAGGTCTATGACTTGAATTTTGGGTCATTAGAGCAAACAATAAATTTCTGATATCAAATACAAACGTTACTAAAAAGTACTATGAATGTTGTATATTCCGTAGCTAAAATTAATGAGACGAATAAATTCTGTAGGGAAAAACAACATTTTGGGTTAGGTATGCCTATACGAGGCAATTTCTCGTCCAACTGCCGCTCTGTTGAAGTAATTTAGGAAAAAGTTGAGAATTTGTATGCTGTGAATCCATAGCGTCCGTTGAAGGGAATCGTGTGCCGGGTCCTTCCGACCATCATACCTGAAACTCTTCCACAGCGGTTTACTGCAGCCGCAGTTCCTCAGCTTCCTGCGTCTATAGGCGACGCCATGGGGCTGAATGGGATTCCCACACCGATGGTGGGCAAGGACGCTTGCCATCGTCCGCTTATCATAAAAGGTTGGGGAAAGTAACGTCACTGCGCTCATAGGCCTCCAGGTGACTTTCTTTACACTTGAGATGGTTAATTCGACGCAACTAATGCTAAGCTGAGTTGTGAAAGCAGACGAACAGCGGGCATAAACAGTACACAGTCAATAATGGCTAACCAAGGGAAATTGGGAATTGACTGAGGAGAAAAAAGCCAGTCTTTTTACGATATATCCACATGATCTGACGCTGACCATGCAGTGTACGAGACTCAATGTGAACTACTCTTTGTGATCCAGTTATCAGGTTTTACCCTTTAAGTAACGACTAATGAAAAAAATGTGATGTCTGATGATAGGTAGTAAGAAACTCAAATCATTTACATAGTAAAAAGCGAGAAAGTCGCATAATTGTTTTTTTTTTTAGTATATCAACGCTGTGTAACGGATTCATTTATTTCTAAGGTGGGTGCCAACTGTAAATACATAATGCGAAAATAAGATGTACTAAAAACGAGGCGTACTTTTCGTGGAGCTCAGCCACCAGAAGACTCAGTAGATCTTAACAAACAGCCTTTTAATCCCA